AAAAATTGGAACCAATGGTGGATGTTTAAGCTTTTGCACAAATATGAATAAAACATTTTTTTATTTCGATAATAAAACAAGAACTTAATGAAATAGAATTGCAAAAAAAACAATTCTAAGGAGTACAGTGACGACAAGTTAATCTGCAAACTCTTCTCATTACAACGGCATAGTCGCCGATATTGCAATACCGGGCATTTTCTCGACATTGAGGGTGTAAATCGGTGCAAGTTGACGACGAAGTTGCATTACCTGCAGTGCAAAAGATTTTGGTTAGATTCTTGAATATTTGCCTAAATACAAGAAATAAATTTAATTAATTGCTATTATCCGAAAATATTGTTTTGTCCATCTATGGCTATAATAGAAAGGTTATTCGCTACAAAAAATGTATCTTGTGATGCGAAATTCGGAAGGTAACCTGGTAGGCAGTCCCTTAGTCCGCACGTTTTCTTACAAGATCTCTTCATGAAGTCTGTACTGCAACTAGGGTCCAAAGCGAATAGAGCCCTACAGTTTTCGTTTTCATCTGGACACATTCCGCCAGCACCCGGTCTATTACAAAGACCACATGTAAATGGGCATATCGATAAAGCGATACTAGGTGAAGTTGTACAAATATTTCGACCCAACTTTTGGCATGCATCGGCATTAACTGAAAGGAAACAATTCGAACTTCTATGATTCGATCCTCTTTGTACTAAATATTGATAGAGAACAAACTGACCATCGTTACAGTTATATTCTTTTGTTTTACAACACATCGCACACGTATTCGGACACGTTTTTGCTGCGAAATCTTTTATCGTATTACATAATCCAGGGATTTTATAATCATTCATTCTGCAAGATTATTTAATGTATTTTTTGTCATAGAAAAAACCACAACTTCTTCCACAAGTTCACTTGAATATGTGAGTTGGATCACGCAAATTTCACCTTTGCGAGCAATTTTATTCTCGATAATCAGTAACCAGCAGATCCCTTTTATTATGCTCTTTCTTATTTTTTAAACATTTTTGATGAAATATACAATTATAAAAATAATTTAGACGCCAATGGTGATCCAGCAGTAATTTGTAATGACTACGAAATACATACATATTCAGGTTATTTGCTTGATCATTATTAGCTTCATAGACAAATATTGATGGGCAAGCTGGATCTTCTCGACATGAATCCACAGTTGGTCGTTTTTTAGAAGGATTACCAACTTGTTTAACACATTCTTCGATATCCACATTGCCCGCAAATGCGAGTGGCAGAAGGAAGAAGGGTAGGATAGCAAGCAACATAACTTTGGATCCTGGTTGACTAGTTCCTTTTTATATAACCATTTCTTATTTGGTTTCATGCGAAAACATAATAAACACCTACATACTTAAAATTTAATGAATGAACGATAATGAAAGCTAACAAAAACATTCGAATATCGAACTTTCTAGCAAAAGCTGTTCATATTGAAGACCGAGTTGAATCGCTACCATCGAAGGTAAACAAGCCTTTGATCCATAATTTTTCCTCCAAAGAATGGGAATAAAACTGAAATATGATAAAGTTTATATCGAAATTCTTTTCAAGCATTTCATTCTGAGAATTTTTTTTCAAGTCGCAATTCAAAAAATAATTTAAATTCTTTTCGCGCCAACTACAATATTTAAGTTACACTATTGGACATCATCAGGTACCATTGAGACAAACCATGCGATTAATTCCAATGTGTCGCAAACATTAGGCATTGCAAACAAAAGGTTTTACGCTCCTCATATTCACTAAAATTCTTTCTATATCATATTTTTCAAAAGATTTTTAATGCTGAAAAAATATTTTTATTTCTAAATATATAAATAAATATTCGTAAATATTTCTTTTTTGATGATATTTAGCCATATCCAGACAAGCAAAAAGGTAATTCTGTAATTTCTATAATATTTATAGAAATTTTATAAAAAATGAATAAATAATTTAAAATATGAATTTTTTAAAATAGATTTCAATAATTTTTTCGTATAAAATAATAATGTGGATTATTGATAAATAAATAAAATTAATAAAAAATTTTTAATAGTGCATTAATCAACATTTGTTTAAACATGACGCTAAAATGGCGTAATCATTTCAGGGATAATTATTGTTTTAAAAATGTTCATTAATAATGAATTTAATGGAGCTTATAATGTTAAAATCAATTACAACACTAATAAGATTAGTGATAAATGATAACTGATTAAAGATTATAAAATTAATATTAATTGCCACCTAGTTAGGGTGAAAATCATTAATGAAAATCATTCATAGATCAGTGCGTTGTTATCGCATTTAATGAAAGTTGGAGTTCATTATTGATTTTGGAGAATCGAACTGATTTTTATTTTTCTAAAAATAGCATTTTAAAATTTAAAATAATCAAAAAATAAAGAAAAAGAATAAAACTATAAGCAAAGTGACAAAAAATTGAGGGGTGTTTTTTGGAGTTTTGTGGCTAATAAAAGCTGTGCGATATTTTTGAAGTTTATCTTTTAATTTTATTATTTATTATTATTTATATTACAGAATTCGTGTTTCAAAACCATTGATAAAATAACCATTATATTGTAATATTCGTAAAAATTAAAATAAAGTAAAAATGGAAAAATTTTTTTTCAGAAATTTTTTTTAGAAATCAAAAAATTAAACAAATAATTGAAAAATTCGTATTTGATATTCATTATTTTATTAATGAACTTTTCATGCGAAAGTATACAAAACAGAGCATAAAAAGATTGATAAAAGTGTTAATCAGTTTATTTAAGTTAATAACATACAGCTGCAAATGAGGATGCATTTCACTTATCTACCTCTCGTATTTTTTATTTCTTGCGTTAATGCAGGAGATATGCCAATTAATGTATGCAACAAAGCAGTTCGATCGCCACCACAACCACCGGGTGGAATAGGCGCAATACCTGTAGGAGATGTTGCAGCGGCAGCAGCTGTGCAATGCCCAACAATTAATCCAAGTCTATGCACTGATCTTGACGCATAAGTATGTTCAGGCGTATTTACGTTGTAAGGCGCTATATTCAAGGATCCGTTCCGTTTCTTCAGGGCTTGTCTTTAAAATCTCACAAGCAAGTTTAAAACTGCTTTATTATAGCCTTTTCTTCCATTTTATTTTTGTTATTTTATTACATTTTATGGCAATATTAACATTGCCAATAATTATTCTATAATTAAATCTACTGGGAAAACGATTTTATTCTTCAGCAGCACCTTCGCGGTTGCAGTGATGCACACTTCAACTGCATATTAGATCGAAATCTTTGCAACATCGGTGATAATGGAATTGTAATGAGAAGACAGTTTAGGCGAACTTGTAGTCATTGCTGATTTACTATTGCATATTTTCTAAAAAATTTCTTTCCGTTCCTAATGGCTATTAATAATAATCAATAAATATTGCATCTTTGTAAATAACAGTGTTATTATTATTATTATCATTGTTCTAATTATTGTATTCTACCAACAACCTACTGAAACTTAAATCTTTATTTTTTTTATTATTATCACTATTATTCATCACTGCATTTTCACTCACTATTATTTTTTAGGCATTTCAATTATTAAGCATAATTATTGGAAAAAAGAAAATTAGCTTTAGCAAAAATCCGCTACCAATGTCGGGGCGCAAAATCACTTGTAGACGACATGATTACTGGTCAAGGTGTTGTAATCAGTAGAGCAGCCTCCATACTGCGATCTGTTGAGACTCATCCTTTGATTGGACGATTTGTTTTAAATTCATAAAAAATATTTTATACTTTTTTTTCTCTATATGTCACCATTACATCACTATTGACACCAACACTAATAAAAGAGAACGAAATTAGTGAACGAAATATTGTGAAATCGTATGAATTTGAGAAATCGCGGAAATTTTCAATATATCCGAACTACGATTTCGAAATTCAATTTAATGAATATCGCTTAATATCGCTTGAAAGTTGAATATGGAAGACAACGATTTATTTCCCAAGTTTTTAAAAAAAATTTTCCAAATTCATATCATTTACTGCTATTGTTATAAACCGTGTACTTTCGCTTAAAACAGAAAATAAATTCAGCCATTTTTTTTTCAATTTTCATAGATGAATATTTATTCCACTGTAACAAATTATTTCTGCGGGGGTTGAAGGTCGAATGTGATTAATTAAATATTAATTTTTTGCTTTTTCATATAAATCTTATTTTTTTCCAAAAATTTATTTTTTATGGCAACTGAATTCTAATAAGCGCAAAAAGTGTGGAATCTATTACTTCGACTAAATTTAAACTGTCATAGCTTCAATTCCTTTTCTTTAGCCGGAATTTGATTTTAGTGACCAATCCAATTGTACTTTCATGCAATTTTGTGAAAAAAATTTTTTTTGTGTTTTTTCTTGAACTATGGCGATTAAAATTAAGTTTGGAAATTCTGATATTAAAATTACAATAAAATTACAATAAAGAAGTTTGTACGTTTATAATTTAATGAAAGAGATTGTTTCTAAGTAATAGAGTGACGAAAAGTAAACCTGCAAACTCTTTTCATTACAACTCATCGATATTGCAAAACTGCAGTACTGTAGAACCATAAATTTTCTCAATATTGTAAATTAGCAAAAGTTGGTGAAGTTGAAATGCTGTCGTTCGAAATTTTCTCATCAAAAATTGCAAAAATTTCAAAATGAAGGCCTTAGATATCTACCAAAATGAACCATTTTGTTATGCTGGACCTGCAGTACCTAAATTTAAGAATTATTGCAAGCCCACGCCATTTCAATGCTTGTTTATTTATTTCTTAATTATTGTTTATTATTTATTTATTTATTATAAAAAATATCGAATAAAAATTCTTCTTCGATTACAAATAATATGAAAATAATATTATGCATTTTACATCGGCGAATGCGAAAAGTATTGTTTTTGTTTTCTTATTTTTTTGGGATTTTTTTTGGTTTTAGGAAAATCAAATTATTATTAAATTTATTTTGTTTTCACAATTGAAAAGAAATGTAACATTAGCATATGCACAAAAAATAAGGAATTTTTTATTCTTTATTATTTTTATTTTTTAAGAAATTTAGAAATTTTTTATTAATAATTTTTTCAAAAATTATTCAACTTTTATTTTTTTCTCTCAATGGCAAAGGCAAATGTTCTGGAGGCTTGCACAACGAGAGTATTGAGAAGATGAGACGAGAGTTTAAAAAAGGTGAAGTGAAATATTACGGAAAAATAGTGGAGTGCCCCCTTAGCGAAAAGTACTATATGGATAACATCGGTTTCCTTAAAATAGGAGTGGAAATAAAAAAAAGAAGAAAAATCATCCTTTCGTCCATCTTAAGCCATATAGAAGATGAGATGAGATTATTATTTATAAATAAATTGTTGAAATACACAAGTTTGAAAGTCTCATACATGTAAGATTCAATATGCCTCGACTTTATTGCTGATTACCTGAGTTGGATAAACCTATCCTTTAAAAATATAGCTGGTTTGAACTGCCTAGCGCTAGTGATTAGCTGTTCTTCTTACCATACTAACACTAAACGAGCAAGTGCAACAGAAAACATTGATAATACCCACTTTCTTAGCAATTCATTGATGTGGAGAAGGCAAAGTTGTAGTCGTCAATGTTTTTAAATATTATAAATAATAATAAAAAATAAAAAGCAATAAAAAAAGTAATAAATAATAAATAATAATAAATGATAATAATAAATAATAATAAAGTAATAAATAAAAGATAAAATAAAATAATAAAAAATTTATTTTAATATTCCAAGAAGTATACGAAAAAGAACTATAAAAAGAGATGATTTTAAGGAGTACAGTGACGACAAGTTAATCTGCAAACTCGACTCATCACAACTCCATAGTCGCCTATATTGCAATACCGGGCATTTGCTTGACATTGAGGGTGTAAATCGGTACAAGTTGACGAAGTTGAATTACCTGAAATGCAAAAGGTCTTGGTTAGAATTTTAAATGATTTGTTATTATCTGAAAATATTCTTTATCCATCAATATTCACAGCAGAAAATGTATTTTGTGGTGCGGAACTCGAAAATCAACCTGGTAAGCAATCCGTTAGTCTACATGTCTTCTTGCATGATCTCTTCATGAAATCCGTACTGCATGTAGGGTCCAATTGGAAAATAGCTGCACAATTTTCGTTTTCATCTGGACACATTCCAGCAGCACCTGGTCTGTGACAAAGGCCACATGTAAATGGGCACATCGATAGTGCTACGCTAGGTGCAGTTAAGCAAATATTTCTATCCAACCTTTGGCATGCATCGGGACTGACTGAAAGGAAACAAATGGAACTCCTATGATTTGCTCTCTTTAAAGTTATAAAAGAAAACGACTGACCATCTTGACAATTAAATTCCTTCGTTTTACAACACATCGCACACGTTTTCGGGCACATTCTTGCTGCGAAATCTTTTATCTTATTGCATAGTTCAGGAACCTTATAATCTTTCGTTCTATAATCATATAATCAAAATCATATTTTCTTTCTTTTAAAGAACAAAATTAAATTCTAAAAATTTGCGTAGATTTACCTAAATTTCAGTTATAGTAAAAAATTTATTCCAGTTAAGGAATAATAAATGAAGTTTTTATTCCTGAATATAAGAACCCAAAAAAACATATTTTCGGTTTATATTTATCTTCCTATATTTCTCGAAATAGCTTTAAACAAATTATTAATTATTAATTTAAGCTCATTCTGAAGTAATTTTAATGAATGAAAAATCCATACACATCGAAATTCTCTGCTATTTCATTAAGAGCATTTGGATCAAATACAAATATGGATGGACAAACTGGATCCTCTTGGCAAGATTCCACGGATGGACGTTTTTTAGGAGGATTTCCAACTTGCTTAACACATTCTTCGATTACCTGATTGCCCGCAAATGCGACGTGCAAAAGTGAAAAAGCTAGGACAATAGTAGTCAACATAGTTCTCAATTATGAATAGCTATTTCATAAGCGCCTACTTTTATACTAATTGACTTCATATTATTAGATAATAAACACCTACACTGAAACGACAAAGTCTAAAAAAACATATGACATCAATCCTAACACCAAAAGCTGTTTATACGGATGAACAGAGAGAACTAACTGCTGCTAAAGTAGATAGACAATTTTTTGATAAATAGTTCTTTCCTCTAATTTTATAAACTTTGTTCAATAAAATGGCACGTTGTTCGATAAATCATTTTATGCAATGTATAATAATTTTAATAAGATTTTTAATAAATTCGGCAAGATGCTCCTTTTTTAATAGAAACTTTACCCATATCCAAAATAGCAGAGAGATAATTTTACATTCATTCTTTATAATTATAGAAATTTTTTAAGGGTATTAAGTTTTTTTTCGGCTTTTATCGAATTTTTTTCGTATTAAACAATTAAAATATTAATAGAATTTATACTGAATTTTAAGATTTTTTATAATAAAAAACAATAATTATGAAATTTCATTGCAAAAGTGATGAATCGAAATTAAAAATTTGTGAAAAATGGATAAAATGGATTTAGTGGAGATAATGAGGAAGTAATCAAAATGATTTTAAAGGCTATTTTATTGCAATTATAGAAGTCGGTTTAAGAGAATGCCAATAAATTTTGATGGGATCATGAAATATATATATATATATATAAAAAAGTATTTCGAAGCGCAATAGAATAGAGATATTAACTTTTGAACAGTCAATTCTGCTGTTATTTGACAATTTAATAGCTAATTTATGAGAAAACTTTTGGTAAAATCATAAATAAAAATGATAAATCGCATAAGTGAAATATACAAATTACCTACTGAAAAAAAGTGGATTGTTGAAAAAGTGAAACTTTTGACTCATCCACGATTGGATCTATTGAAATATAACCATTATAAATATAATTTAGCCATTTAGCTCGCTGTTTTTAGTTTACAATATTTTGCTTAATTACCTATCCTATAATGGCTATAAAATTTTAAATTTGTATAATGGACATAATGGACATTTATGACTTTAATTATCTTTATTTTTATCCATTTTAATTTGTTATAAAATTATTCAAATAATAGGCAATTATTTTAACACCCTAGAAAAATTATTTTATTTGTGAAAGCAATTTAATATTATTTATCGTTTATAATTTGATAATTCCTGAAAACAAACGAGATAAATCTATTCCGGTTTTCTTCATATGATTTCTAATTTTTAATAGTGCATTAATAGTGCATTTAATCTGCAGTTGTTAAAAAAAACATGCGTTTACGATATTATTCTGGCAAGCATTTCATGATTTTTCATCAAGTTATTGTTTTCAATAGTCCAACATGCATCGCTATTATATGGGAATTATGCAAATATATTCGAATAAAATCTTCCAATATTTCATAAAGTATCGCTCTGAGAGTTTTCTTGGAGTCCATTTTCGATTAGCCTCGCTGCATCTTGGACCAGGCAAATGTCACCAGTCAAAAACCTTTTAAATTAATAAAAGTACAGTCAGGTCGCCAGCATCATGCGTATTTTGGATAATAATCCTACACAGCAGCTATTCTACTTCGCAAGTGGTATGGGAGTTAATTTTTATCAATTCTGGCTCCTAATATGATACTCCTAATGTGTTAATCAAATGGTGCCAACAAATAAACTATACTTCACCAAATGATTCTTTATCATATAAAGAATCGCAGAAACTCATCAACTCCATCCATATGGCGAATGGTGAACTTATGACAAATAAAAGAAAATTGAAAACCGCAATCTTTTATCAGCATGAATAAATTTTCTACTTCATAATTATTGGCTTTTTTTGCTTGGCCAGAATCAGTTTATAATGGAAAAATACCATTTCTCATAATAATTCGCCGCCGATCTCCATTAATTACTATGCTTTTATAAAGGCTTGTATAACTCGATACTTTTAGCACCTAAGCATCCATTAATTTAAAGAACTGGTGCTAGGCCATATATTAATGATGTCATAAAAAGTCTAATTCTACCATTATTAATTCTACCATTATTTTTATAGTGATGAGTGACGAAATTTATTCTTATAATGATAGGTTGCATAAACATTCCTCATGACTAGAATGTAGACTGTTGTTCCCCTATGCACAACAGTTCAAGCGGATTCATTTCATTATTTCATTAAACCGTATAATGGATAGCGAGGTGGACCTGGAAACTGACACGGTCAGAAAAGATTTTGAACGTATAGATGCATGAAGAGGAATTATCGAATACCATTTTTTGTAAGTGCAACGGATATGGCAATTTTGTAACCTTTCACCAAAACATCGAACTACTTTGCCTAATTAGTTGTAGAACAAATTAATGGAGTAGATCGGTAGTTCTCGAACTTTTCATCACGGCTGCACATTCAAACACTATGAAATTATTGAGCGCGTATCTCAAACCATATGAGCGCTTCCTTATATACTGCATATATATATATATATATATATATCATCGCACTAGAAATGAATATTCTCGGAATTTTATATATATCACTCCATCAGTTATTAATCTTTTTGCTCTAATTTTATTATTATGTAAAAATGTAATAATAATAGTACTTTTTTCTCTTCGAAAGCCAATACAAAGGACTTGTGAGACCTGATGGCTTCGCTTTGTTGGAATTGCTGGAATAAATAGTCGCTATCGAGCGACAACAGCAATCGAAGATGTACCGATGAATCGAGGGTGAAATTTATTGCAATCACTAATCAACAACGATCGCTAATCAAATACAACAACTCAATGTTTGATTTGCTTATTTTTTCAACTAGAAAGCACATGTTGTTGTTGTTATGTTGTTTTTTTTTAAACACCAATCCTTTTTTCTTAATCCCTACCTTTTCTCGTTTTGATAAGCTAAGGTAATAAGATTATTAAGCTCATTATCATTTTATCAACAAGTTATTGTTATTAGTGTTGCTAGTGATACGCTTAATGATAATTCGGAACAGATTTTCACCTGATTTTTTCCAGACTTCTTGTTATTCGCATTTTTAAATTCAGTTTTTATTCAATTTATTTTTGTATTTAAAAGTTAAAAAGCCGTCTTTTGATAAAACTTCCCCTTTTTTATCGCAAAAAAGTACATAAATATTTTCTAAAATTGTTGATTAAATTGTTGATTTTTCGCTGATTTAGCAGAATTTCGGCTGTTTTTAAAATCATTTCAAAGATATAAATTATTATATAATTATACAAAAATATAATTTTCATCCAAATTGCTGAATCAAATAAACTTAAACCACTTTTTATTTTTATTTTAAAGAACCCACTGGTACTTTTATTTTGCTGGAATAGAAATTGGCATCCAGCAACTCTTACCTGCAAATCTTTGAAAATATGTGTGTCATTAATTTTAATTTTAAAAATAAAAGATGCTTAAAAACTAAATTAGCTGCCGTTTTCCTTGAATAAATCATATTGAATTCGGGAATAAAGTTTTCAGAAAAACAGAAAAATATAATTTTCATCCAAATTGCTGAATCAAATAAACTTAAACCACTTTTTATTTTTATTTTAAAGAACCCACTGGTACTTTTATTTTGCTGGAATAGAAATTGGCATCCAGCAACTCTTACCTGCAAATCTTTGAAAATATGTGTGTCATTAATTTTAATTTTAAAAATAAAAGATGCTTAAAAACTAAATTAGCTGCCATTTTCCTTGAATAAATCATATTGAATTCGGGAATAAAGTTTTCAGAAAAACTTTCAGTTCCGAAAAAGTTTAATTTTCAACATTTCACATAGTCAAACACAAAGCAAATCACATTGTTATTATATTATCCATGAAACAATTCTATTAATTTTTTTTAAATTTGCTTAAATTCTAATAATCTATAAAAACAATGCATTTTATTTTATTATATTATAATATATAATATTATAATATTTATTACTATAAATTTTACCTATTTTAATTGTTTTAAATATATTGGAAAGGTGTTAATAGAAAATAGTTTGCCTTTCTGAAATGCCTTTATTATTATACGCTCAAATAATATTAACACTGGAATAATATTAACATTGAAACTTTGATTAAACAATATTAATAATAAAACAATAGGAGCAATACCTACGGTAATAAAGCTGATAGTTCGGCATAATAGCGATTATTAGACGAAGCAAGTAAGAATATTTTGCAGAATAAATGAAATTTTTACCAAAATCATAAGTTTAAAGCAAGGAAATTGGAAAAAAAATATTCTAAGTCATTTTAACATTTTTACAAGTTTCAGTGGAATTCGTTTAGATTCTAAATGATATCGGAAGATTTCATAAAAATCTTCAGTTTACATGAGCTTCAATCTATTCACAATGATAAAGTCATTTGAAACATTTAGGGCTAATTATGAAGGAAGTGATAATCACCATTGTCAGCCATACTAAGCATGTTAGATCTACGATTTACCGGTTGAAATAAATTAAATAGTGGATGGACAATTTGAAATTCTATAAAAAGTCATAGAGGAGTCATAAAATGGCGATACCGCATAAAATAAAAATTGATTAGAAAAAATCCCCTTTTCATTCCTTGCGGAAGAGTGAACATGTTCGACTGCTCAACCAGAAGCCCTGCAGAATTGAAGAGAATCTACGTATTGTGATAACTAAAAAAATAAAAAAAATAAAAGTGGGCGAGCTAAAAACACTAATTGGCTAAAATTTGTAAAGTCTAAATGCAAAAATGAAATTGGGGCACAAATTTTTTTATTTGCAATATATGTCACAGGAATAAGTCGCCGAATGACGTACTTTGAGTGTTCACCCTTAGTCGTTTTCAAAAAAAGATTCAATAATATCATCCATGATATCATTTAAAACGTTCACATTACGAAAGGCAATATATACCGCTCTTCCCGCAGTTGTGCGCCAGTGGTACTTCGAGTTATCCCCTTTCTTAGTCCCCCCATTATTATATGGTTTACCTTTTCACTGT